GGGCCATTTGGGGGAGGTTTGCAGAGTGCAAAAACTTTTTTTTTAATTTTCCTCTTCAAAACCTTGCTGCATCTTATACTCCAGTGCATCTTATACTCTGGAGAATACGGTAACTAAACTGTATACTCTGAGGTCTGTTACCATGGACATTATTTAAGATTTTTTGTAAGGGACTGATTGCAGAGCTAAAATCAGGCTAATATGCATTTTGCACCTGGTTTCTTACATTTTCTTAAAGCAAGCAGCAAACCAGAGAAGGGAAAAGATAACGTTGAAGGGGAACCAGAAGGAGCTTGTCTATCGCATGGGTAGATGGGGTAAGTAGATGGCACACACACACTTTACACAAATACCCCTTCCTAAAATGCAATGAAAGTCATTTGAGCTCACGCACATTTATGCTAGTTTTGTTTTCTCTTGGACGTAACCCTAGTCCCTTACCAGCAAATGAAGCAGGATATGTTTTTCTGTTATTTTAAAAGCAAACTTTGGAACTTATACAAATAATAAACATCATACTTAACGGTTTTATTTTTGCACCATGCCAAAGAAATAGTATGAGTGGAACTATATAACTCTTTAAAAAATATATATTTAAAACACACACAGAGCCAATTTGCAGACAGCCACAAGTGGTTCTGTGTAATAACCAAAGATAGCTGCCCTTAAGCAATTGTTTAACCTGATAAACCAACCTTCATTAGTTTGTCAACTTGCTACACTTTAAGCTTTCGGTTCCCTTGGTGTAGGCTTTCCAAAAGTCAGTACCCTTGAAGTTGTGGGTCCTCTCCTCCCCAGAGATTGTTTCTACCGACTGAAAATGAGTGGAGTTGTCATCTAGAGGAACTGCAAAGCAACAGCTTAAGGTTGGCAGGAAGTAGATCAAAGATATGTTATTGTGTGTAGTAGCAGGTACTATTAAAAGCAAAGAGGCACGGATATATAAGGAAGAAATATATAGACCCCCTATGGCCATGGAAGATAGTAAAAAANTTATGCTTGAAGTTCTTATAGAAATTTTATTTCTATTCATTATTCTATTAAGCCATATTTAGTTCTATTGGATCCAGTCTGATGCAGTGAAGGAGCAAATTAGCATAGACCTCCAGTCAACTCTTAGGAGGAATTCAGGTTTTTGGTCATCATCTATAAAGCCTTTAATGTCCGAAGCTTTGTTATCTAAGGCACTGACTTTCCCCAGTGATATACAGATAAGAATGCAAATGACCTGGCTGTAGATATGCAGGCCCTGTTATCAAAATGTTGAAGGGAAAATATAGTCTACAATAGGCAGAAAATAGGCAGAAACAGCTCAGACAGACCCCCTAACTAATTCACTGCAGTGTACGAAGCGTGAAGAAAGACAACCTGATCAGATTTGCAAGATTCCGTTATTGTAGCTACTCTCAGTAAAACCAGTCTTAGCCTTCCAGTTGATTTCCTAATCTGATCTTCCAGATGGGGCTGACAGTCTGTCCATCTTCTTAAACTGAACAGAATGAGCATCCACTAAATCCATACTTGTCCTATTTTAACAAAGGGGGAAAGGTGAACCATTATGAACCACTTTCTGAACTTCTTGTGGTTGCAACAATTAACTTATTTTAATCTTACTAGCAGTGGTTAGTGTGCTGGACCACCTCTCTCTTCCTTTCTTACTAAAAGGTGATATGATATTTGAATTTCTCCCAAGGCAAGTGGCAGTTCTCAAGAAAGTCTGGGGAAGTTTCTAGTGACATGTAACATTTCATTCCTAACGTAAATTGCTGACTATGTTTACTTTTACAATTAATTTAGGAATCATTTCAAGAATGGGGGGAAAGCCGAATTCATCTGGCAGATGTCTATCAAATTTCTTTTGAACCATCACTACGGCCTTCCGATAGTCATTTGCCTTTTGCCTTCGCAACGGCCTAACTAACTTTTGCTTCTCTGAAGAGTGGATTTGATTTTGAGTCTTAATCATTGTCTCTTACTCTACATGATTCTTCAAACTACTTTCCTATTATAGAAATATTGGAATATATCTTTTTTGCTTTTGTGGAATTTTATTATAATATAAAATACAAATACAAACACAAGTAATAAGAGAATAAAGAAAGGGAAAGATGGGAAAAATAAAAAAGTAAGGTGGGGGGGGGAAGCAGTAACTTCCAACTTTTTTCAGTACAGTAGAATACAAAATACAATTACAACCTCAAGTTTTTGTTTTAGCAATTTAGTAAGTACGAGTCATTTCTATATTAACAAGCTAATCTAATCACCAAAACCTAAAATTTCATTTTTCTGTTTCAAGCATGAAAGTCCAGAAGTGGATTCCAAGTAGAAATAAAACTAAAGAAGTTCTTTAATTGGAGTGTTAATTTTTCATCTCTGCCAACTCCATCACTTTTTTAATCCATTCTTCCATTGTGGGAATTGATGGATATCATGTATATCGATTTATAGGGCTTTCAGCCCTCTCTAAGCGGTTTACAGAGTCAGCATATCGCCCCCAACAACAATCCGGGTCCTCATTTTACCCACCTCGGAAGGATGGAAGGCTGAGTCAACCTTGAGCCTGGTGAGATTTGAACTGTGAAATTGCAGGCAACTGGCAGTCAGCAAAAGTAGCCTGCAGTACTGCACTCTAACCACTGTGCCACCATGGCTCACAAAGATCCATTTTTAAAAAGTTCCTTATCCAATACTCCTAATATTGCAATATATTATCAAGGACCGTTTGAGATGATTCCATGTGTTTAAGATTGTCCACTTCAAACAACATCTTCAACAAATGATATTAGTGTACTAGTGTAGTCACTGTTAAAAGTCTCAATGATAATAAATATTCCATTATATCATCACACCAATTATACAAATGATGTGATTTACATCAGGTGTAACATCAGATTGCAAATGACGTACAGTATGTAACTCACATAAGCTATATGGTGACAGTAGGGTTATGTACAAGATCAATGTCCCCCTTAAGAAGGGGAACATTGTAGGAGCCGAGGTGGCGCAGTGGTTAAATGCAGCACTGCAGGCTACTTCAGCTGACTGCAGTTCTGCAGTTCGGCTGTTCAAATCTCACCGGCTCAAGGTTGACTCAGCCTTCCATCCTTCCGAGGTGGGTAAAATGAGGACCCGGATTGTTGTTGGGGGCGATATGCTGACTCTGTAAACCGCTTGGAGAGGGCTGGAAGCCCTATGAAGCGGTATATAAGTCTAACTGCTATTGCTATTAAGGCATATACTGCATGAACACAGCAAATGTAAAGATTGACAAAATGCAAAAAATAATAATAATCCATAACCATGTAGGATAGTCATAGCAGAAAATATGCTGCTTATATTAATTATATATCATAGAGCCATGC